ATATATATATATATATATATATATATATATATATATATATATATATATATATATATATATATAAACTTTTGTCACTATAATTTATAATATATTTATTAAAGTTTTTATTTTTTATTTTTGGTTAGAAACGACATTTGATTTAAAAGAAAAAAAAAGAAACTATTATTAGGATTTAATGAGTTCTCTTTTTTGTAAATAGATTAATAAACTAATTAAGAATTAAATATGTTTATAAACTGAATTGTTAAATTTTAAAATGTAGAGATTAAATTGTTATTATAAATAAAATTTAAAATTCAAAATCTAAAAAATGTTATTTTGAGAAATTGAATTTATAAAACATTTTATTTTCTCGGAATAAAATAAAGCAAGCACGATTGTTTCTGTATTGTGTTTCGTTATACAGGATTTGATTTTACGCTAGGGCTTACCTTTTCCACCTCTGAATCTGCTGCAGACGGAGCCGTGATCGTCACAGGTGTGCATTCGTTTTTATTACCTTCCTTTTATCTGATAATCAATCGGCGTTTCATTTCCCATTTTCTAGAATTGATTCCTGGATCTTCCTTCTGTTGGGTGCCCTAGCGTTTATGCCATTGGTATGGGTTCCATTTTTGAAGATTTTGTGTATCCGATGTCTTCTGTGCTTTATCAATTGCATTTGAATACCGTCCTTTTCCATTTAGCGATAGTTGCTGGAGGGTTTCTGGGTTTGGCAGTGGTATATGTTTAGGCGAATCTGAGTTTACTGCGGTGGGTTTTGAAAATGGGACGATTTAGATAGCTGCTTTTGTTTTCCCTCTATTGTAGGTTATGGTGGACCAGTGGATGTGGATGTGGTCTGTAATTTATGATATATTTAGATGTTCGTTGATTTTGGATGTTGGTTCCATTTGTGTTGGTTTGTAATCAAATTTCGTTTCACTTGGTATCTCCTTTTGCTTGACAAGTCTGTTAGTGTGTATTTGTGTAAACCATCTTGTGGTCAGTAAGGGCAGGGAATGAATTCAATCAATAGTGGCTATCTACTAAGATTTAATATCCTACTAGCTTCTTTGGCATCCAAATGTTATAGATCCAGAAACAAAATAACTTCATAACTGTGAGATCCCGCTTCGGTTGGAGAGGAGAGAACGAAGCATTCCTTATAAGGCGTGGAAACCTCTCCTTAACCAACCTGTTTTAAAACTGTGAGACTGACGACGATACATAACAGGTCAAAGTGGACAATATTTGCTAGCAGTGGGCTTGAGGTGTTACAAATGGTATCAGAGCTAAACATTAGAGGATGTGCCAACGAGAGCGCTGGCCTCCAAGAGGGGTGGATTGTGAGATCCTATATCGGTTGGAGAGGGGAACAAAGCATTCCTTATAAGGGTGTGGAAACCTCTCACTAACAGACGCATTTTTAAAACTATGAGGCTGACGGCGATAGGTAACGGGCCAAATCGGACAATATCTTTTAGCGGTGGGCTTGAGCTGTTACAATAACCCCAAGACAGTTTTATTTCACTCATTCATGCTATTTTCTGTCGATGAAGAATTGAGGTTACTCTTCGATTCACGTGATTCAAACTGGGAAACAACGTGACTGTCCATTTGTATATTAGATTTGGGAATCAATGTGAGAAGAAAAGTGTCCCCTGGCTAGTTAGTCCTTGAGGTGTCTACTGTACAATATTGATTTTCAGCTACTTGGCAACTACCCAATTTGAATTGGTTTTCATAGGTCCTCTAGTTCTCCGGAAACTGCATTAATTGGTCATTCTAATCCTCTATTTGGTATTTGTGCTAACGTTTAGACTGAAAAAGCCCCTTCAGAGTTGTCTTTCTTTACCCTTCTGACTGCGGCTAACTATTTCTGAGATCTGCTTAAAGAGTTTTTTCTACTCTTCTAGAGGCTTTGTTAGTTTATCAACTTTGACGTAAGTCTTCTGCATATTCTGGTTTTAATCTCTCTCTCTCTCTCTCTCTCTCTCTCTCTCTGTTTTTTTAGGCTTTGGTTGAACTCTAAGATTTTGCAATGGTACACTTAATCATTTTCGTAGTTCATTAATAATTTTTTTGATGATGCAAAATTTGGATGGAGCATATTATCCTTTGACCTTTCTTTGCCCTTGTAGTAGAGGTTTTATTATTGTGTTTGTGATTGATAAACAATGAATATAGTTGTAAAACTTTTAAAAGATATTAGTGTTTAATTTTAAATTAAGAAAGATGGGTGAAGATGCAACACGAACACAGTGACATGTTATTTTCTTAGCAATTAGGAGTTGGGACACAAAATTTGTTTGGTGAAAGTTTACAATGGTCTCGTGTCTATTGTGTTTGACAAATGCTCTGAACATATTCAGTTATGTAAAGACAAGTGCCCGCCACATGCCTAAAGTGCCTAATGAACATTTGAGAGTTCTCTAATTCTTTACAAACATTTCTACTTTTAAGAGTGTTAAGAGTGTTTGATGAATGTCAAACGCGGATACATTATACACTTTAGTTTGAAGGAGCACCATAATTGTTTATTTGCCTATGTTCTTGTATGTTAATGAATATATTGTTGGATTAAACCCTTTCAAGGGATGCGGTTGTAGGACTTGTTTTGCAAATTTTTGACTTCCTTAGAGAGAGAGGATATAGATCATTTATGTGCTTTTATTTGATTTCGAGATTGGTCACTGCAGGGACAATCGGCTTGAAATTACTACGTCCCCAATCCATTAATTGTGATAACATGTTATATTGCATCGCGGATAATTGGATATTCTCTGAAGTCTGGACTCCTTTTCTACTACTAGTGTAATCTTATTCGGTGATTTGGAAGGATGCTTATCTCAAGGTTTTTTTTTTTAATGTGCTGGCCATTTATTTTCATGCCCCCTTGGGTTTATATCGTGGATACTTTTTGTGAGATCCCACATCAATTCAATAGAGGAATGAGTGCCAGCAAAGACGCTGGGTCCTGAAGGAGGGTGAATGGTGAGATCCCTCATTGGTTGGAGAGGAGAACGAAACATGCTTTATCAGGGTGTGGAAACCTCTCCCTAGTAGACACGTTTTAAAACTTCGAGGGAAAACTCGGGAAGGAAAGTCCAAAGAGGACAATATCTGCTAGCGGTGGGCTTGGGCCGTTACACTTTCGGCGGGTCTTTTGTTGTGCCTTCTACAGTTTATGAAATTCTACTAATGTTTTTGTGGGCTACCCTTGTCATGGTTCCAAGAAGATGTTGTGGCTTGCGTTTTCCAGGGTGTTCTTTAGACTCTTTTGGAGTGTGCGGAATGGTTGAATTTTTAGGGACACCTCTTGCTCCTTTGATTGTTTCTTGGATTTGGTTATTCTTATTGCTCTTTTTTGGTGTAAATATAACACTCTTTTAGCAATTGTAGTCTTTCATCATTAAGTAATAACTAGATAACTTTGTAATTTCATGGATGAAATTTTTTCTCTTCTAAAAATCATGATTCCTGTCCTGCTTTTCAGGTAGTCTGCCTAGGAGCATAATGGGTGATTTTTCCATTCAGATTAGTTCAAACCTTGTTAATATGTTAATTGATGATACCGAAAAACCGAAAAGAAAACCGAGAAGAAACAGAACCAAGGAACCCCAAGTAAAGGTTGATCAGAAACATGTATCTGATGATTCTGGGATGCTCAAGGGAAGCACAAGTGATGGATGGCCTCACCAAGCTCCTCCACTCTTTCTTCCCATAATTCCGCCCGTGCATTCTGCCAATCCAGAGCTAGACGCAATCCGATCCATCCTGCAAGAGAGCGAAAGGGTCGTCGAGAAGTTGCAGAAGCAGGAGGACAACATGGTGCAGGAAGTTACTCAAAGGGCAAAGGAACTCCATGACAAGGAGTTCAAGCTCCCTTACCAAAAGCCCATGCCATGCGTGGCTGAGAGTGAAGCTTGCTTTCAATGCTACAAAGATCATCCCAATGACTCTTTGAAATGTGCTCATCTCGTAAAAAGTTTCGAAAACTGTAACCGTCAAGCTCGGCAGAAATTGAGCTCGAGCTCGGTCGAGAAGTAGGATTGCCATCTGCAATGAATCTTCTCTTGTACTGAGAATATTGTGATTCAAGTTCTCACTGAGAAAAGGAAAGAAAAAAACTGATTTAGCCAACAGAAATAACCCAAGACATGACTGTTGGGGGTTCCTTTGATTCAATTTTGTGTGTTGTTTCTTGAATCGTATTGGCCAGCCTTTCTTTTAGGCTCTATGGGTGTACTTATATGTCATTCACTACCGTTCAAATCGGTTCGACTAGATGAGTGAACTCTTCCTCGTATCCTTCATAAAGATGGTTCATGGGGTTTCTTTTGCTTTTGGCATAGTGCCCCTAACGAGAGGCTTGCCAACGTGCGTCTATTATTGAAATCACCCGACTAGAGAGTATCCCATCTTCTGAAAAATCGTGTGATATGGCTTGAACTTGTTGTGTGCGGATTGAATTAGAGCTCATATCTACTTTGAACAAATATTATGTATGTGTAACAGATTTCGCAACGAGCTTAGTTGACTCAATTATTGATAATATAGACTTTCAATTTTGTCCAACGGACTCTTAATATGCATAAATTTAATATCTAAACTTTCGTGTTTATGTTCAATAGGTTCTTAAATTATCATAGTGTTTCGTAACTTTCGTGTTTAGAAATATTAATTTAATTTTGTTACAATTTGAAGAATAAATAGATATAACCTTCATAATTTTAAGTACAGAATATTAATTTAATAATAGAAATTAAATAAAAATAATAATTAAATATCATTTCAACTTTTTAAATAGAAAAAGGAAATTTTCACACCAAAATGACACATGAAAACCACGTGCACATCACGTGATGGAGAAAAATGCAGGCGAATTCCGCGTTACATCCTCCTTCGACAAACCAAGTAGTCAACTAATTTATCGCCGTTGTATTTCAATTACTCGGCAACCTTTCCCTTTCCTCCAATCCGCCGTCCTTTTTCTTCCCGGAGTCCTGCCGGCCGGAATCTCATCACTCCAGTTTCAGACTTCCGATGGTACTAAGATTCGGTCTCAGATCTTCTCCTTACTAATTCCGTCTCCTCAGGTACTGTCACTATCTCTCTGATGAATTCTTCAACGCATTACTCCTTCAGCAACTTAATTCCTTTTCAAATTCGTTTCTCGGTAGTCACTGGAAGCTTAATTTTCATGAAATTCCATTTCAGCGAAGCTAATTTCTGGAACAATTCATTTTCTTAGCAGTTTCTAAATACGGTAGTTGTTAGCATGAGTTAATAAATTATCGCTTACTTGTATGTTCTTAATTCTATGAGCTTACTATGAACATATGAGTTGCAGTTGAAGTGATTTTTAGATTCTGAATCACTCAGAAAATGGCAAAGGGAACAGAGCATTCGCTGAAGTAATTTGGATTTTGGGTGATTACACAAACTGGATGCATTTTATTCGAATAGAATTAGTAACTTCAGAAGTTCTTATTGTAAGAACATAGTAGTTTGTGGTATTTCAATGTATGAATGGATTGGGATGCTTTGGATTTGGAACATTTTGATTCATATTAGAACTGAAGTGTATGAATTAAAATGTTCCAAATCATTGTGTTTTTAGTGCCAAATAGTTGATCCACCTTAGAAGTTTGTAGTAAGTAAAGATGCTTTTATCTGTTAATCATAGCAGTTTGGATTTGTTTTAGACTCCTTGGGCTGCTGTAAGGGCATGTCATTGTTGAAATCTAATTGCTGGATGTTCTACGTTGTAAAGTAATGTGGTTGCTCAACACGAACTGAAGTGCTTGAGTGTTCTCGGTCAGGTTTGTGACTTGGGGAGGAGAACGAAGCATTCTTTATAATGGTGTGGAAACCTCTCCCTAGCATACGTATTTTAAAAACCTTGAGGGGAAGCTTGAAAGGGAAAGGCCAAAGAGGACGGTGGGCTTGGGCCATTACAAATGACATAAGAGACAGACACGGGGCGATGTGCCAACGAGGAGGCTAAGCTCCAAAGAGAAGTGGACATGAGGCAGTGTGCTAGCAAGTATACTGGCCCCCGAAGGGGGGAGGGGGTCCCACATCGATTCGAGAAGGGAGTGAGTGCCAGCGAGGATGCTAGGCCCTGAAAGTGGGTGGATTTTGAGATCCCACATCGGTTGGGGAGGAGAACGAAGCATTCTTTAGAAGGGTATAGAAAACTCTCTCTAGTAGACACGTTTTAAAACCTTGAGGGAAAGTCCAAACAGGACAATATGCTGACGGTAGGTTTGGGCTGTTACACAAGACTTTTAGAACTCGAGGATAGAGTTGTCCAACCTATAGAACAAAACCAAGTAAGCTCATAGCTTGAACAACAAAATAATAACAATAAGAGTCATTTGGATTCCTTCAGACAAAATGGGACTATGGAAATCATTGGATGTAGTATGATGCCTACTTTAGAAAACTTGAAAAAAAAGTAAGTAGTAGGAAAGAACTGGAAAAACTCTTCTTAAAAGATAAGAATATAATATTTAAAAGCGAGCAGAAAAAGAGCGTTGAGTGAGAATAACATCTAAACGTGTCTGATTGAACGAGAATGAGGACCTTAAGACCTTCATATCGACTGGTCATGGAGTAGATCGAGATTAGATTCTTGCTGCTGTCTCCGTTAAGGCTGTTCACCATCTCTGAGCGGCCTGCAACAGGGAAATGTTCTAACTGTGGCACCTTGGTCGTCAGCTGATTCGAAGTCACGAGGTAGATCCGTAGATGGTCTCTGATCAAGTATATTCATCATAATAAATAATAGAGGTACCTCTGACTTCGACTCGGTCTCTGCAGTAGTCAAACAGTCCGTCTTCCGACCTCAAATGTCTAGAAGTTTAGTCCTCGTATTAGTTTTGACTTGATCTTCCTTGTATTTATTTTGATCAACTGATTATTCAAGTGGCTCTCTCTTTAGTCATTGCGATTTCCTTGTTTCTGTAAAGGCTAAAGGCTTTAGCTGTGAGATCCCGCCTTGGTTAGAGAGGGAATGAAACATTTCTTATAAAGGTGTTGAAACCTCTCCGTAATAGACGCGTTTTAAAATCATGAGGTTGACGCTGTTGGATGATGGAAGTCCCACATCGACTAATTTAGGGTGTGATCATGGGTTTATAAGTGAAGAATACTAACTCCATTGGCATGAGGCCTTTTGGGGAAGCCCAAAACAAAGCCATGAGAGCTTATGCTCAAAGTGGACAATATCATACCATTGTGGAGAGTCGTGTTTGTCTAACATGGTATTAGAGCCATGCCCTAAAACTTAGTCGTGCCAAGAGCCATGCCCTAAAACTTAGTCGTGCCAATAGATTAGTAAATCCTCAAATCCTCAAATATCGAACAAAGAACTCTTAAAGAAAAGGAGCTAAACCCCTCCTTGAAGGCAGTCAAAAATGACTAAGACTCCAAAGGAGTCGAGCCTCGATTAAGGGGAGGCGCACTTTGTTCGAGGGGAGGTGTTGGATGATGGAAGTCCCACATCGACTAATTTAGGGTGTGATCATGGGTTTATAAGTGAGGAATACTAACTCCATTGGCATGAGGCCTTTTGGGGAAGCCCAAAGCAAAGCCATGAGAGCTTATGCTCAAAGTGGACAATATCATACCATTGTGGAGAGTCGTGTTCCTCTAACATGGTATCAGAGCCATGCCCTAAACTTAGTCATGCCAATAGATTGGTAAATCCTCAAATCCTCAAATATCGAACAAAGAACTCTTAAAGAAAAGGAGCTAAACCCCTCCTTGAAGGCAGTCAAAAATGACTAAGACTCCAAAGGAGTCGAGCCTCGATTAAGGGGAGGCGCACTTTGTTCGAGGGGAGGTGTTGGATGATGGAAGTCCCACATCGACTAATTTAGGGTGTGATCATGGGTTTATAAGTGAGGAATACTAACTCCATTGGTATGAGGCCTTTTGGGGAAGCCCAAAGCAAAGCCATGAGAGCTTATGCTCAAAGTGGACAATATCATACCATTGTGGAGAGTCGTGTTCGTCTAACATGGTATCAGAGCCATGCCCTAAACTTAGTCGTGCCAATAGATTGGTAAATCCTCAAATCCTCAAATATCGAACAAAGAACTCTTAAAGAAAAGGAGCTAAACCCCTCCTTGAAGGCAGTCAAAAATGACTAAGACTCCAAAGGAGTCGAGCCTCGATTAAGGGGAGGCGCACTTTGTTCGAGGGGAGGTGTTGGATGATGGAAGTCCCACATCGACTAATTTAGGGTGTGATCATGGGTTTATAAGTGAGGAATACTAACTCCATTGGCATGAGGCCTTTTGGGGAAGCCCAAAGCAAAGCCATGAGAGCTTATGCTCAAAGTGGACAATATCATACCATTGTGGAGAGTCGTGTTCGTTTAACAGACGCCAATAAGTAACGGGCCAAAGCGGACAATATCTACTAACTGTGGGTTTGAGTTGTTACAAATGGTATTAGAGGCAGACACCCGACGTTGTACCAGCGAGGACGCTGGGCCCCTAAGGGGGGTGGATTGTGAGATCCCACATCGTTGGAGAGGAGAACAAAACATTATTTAGAAGGGCGTGGAAACCCTCTCTCTCTCTCAATCAATCAATGAAATCTTATATGTTATTTCCCTTCATTCTACTTTATTATACCTCTGACCTTCCACTGTAATTGTTGTATTCTAGGGGCACAAAATATTGTATACCTTCTGCTATGTTCAAGGCACCCTACTAAACCATAGCTTATCAGATTCCGATACTCGTATAGAAAATGGTTCGAGGGAGGGACGCTTGCTGGGAACATTGTGTCCTTGTTGATGCGACGAGACAGAAGGTTCGATGCAATTATTGTCAGCGGGAATTCAGTGGAGGCGTATACAGGATGAAGTTTCATTTAGCTCAAATTAAAAACAAAGATATAGTTCCATGTGCCGAAGTCCCGATCGACGTTCGAGACCATATTCAAGGTATATTAAGCACTCCTAAAAAACAAAGGGCACCCAAGAAACCAAAGGTCGATATGGAAACTGCAACAAATGGACAGCAACATAGCTCCTCAGCTAGCGGAGGCATCCATCATGGATCGAGTGGACAAAACGAAAGCAACTGCCCATCGACATTTCCGTCCTCTTCACCGAGCGCACAACCACCGATCGATGATGCTCAAAAGCAGAAGAAGGATGAAACTGATAAAAAAGTTGCTGTCTTTTTCTTCCATAACTCTATTCCTTTCAGTGCTGCCAAGTCCTTGTATTATCAGGAAATGGTGAATGCTATAGCAGAATATGGAGTAGGATACCGAGCACCGAGTTACGAGAAACTAAAATCGACTCTTTTGGTTAAGGTGAAAGGTGATATACAGAATTCTTACAAAAAGTATCGAGACGAATGGAAAGAAACAGGCTGCACGATCCTATGTAATAGCTGGTCCGATGGACGGACCAAATCGTTTCTAATCATTTCCATTACGTGTTCAAAAGGAACACTGTTTCTGAAGTCGGTCAATATATCAGGTCGTGAAGATGATGCAACTTACCTGTCCGACTTGCTCGAGACGATCGTCCTCGAGGTTGGTGTGGAGAATGTTGTCCAAGTTATTACAGATGCTACAGCCAGCTATGTCTATGCTGGTAGGCTTCTGATGACCAAATACACTTCCTTATTTTGGTCTCCATGTGTTTCTTACTGTGTTAATCAGATGTTGGAGGACCTTAGTAAAATCGAGTGGGTCGGTACGGTATTGGATGAGGCAAAGATCATCGCCCGCTACGTTTATAGTCATGCGTGGATTTTAAACACGATGCGAAAATTCACGAGCGGGAAGGAACTGATCAGGCCAAGAATTACTAGATTTGTGACTAATTTTCTGTCCTTGAGATCCATTGTGTTTCTTGAGGACGGTCTCAAACACATGTTTGCTCATTCGGAGTGGCAGTCCTCGATTTATAGCAGGCGCCCCGACGCACAGGCGATTCTTTCCTTTCTGTATTTGGATCGATTTTGGAAGGACGCTCGTGAAGCTGTCAACATTTCTGAGCCACTTATTAGAATTCTCAGGCTTGTTGATGGAGACATGCCTGCCATGGGCTATATATATGAAGGAATCGAGAGGGCGAAGGTCGAAGTCAAAGCGTATTACAATGGCATTGAGGATAAATATATGCCTATTTGGGACACGATCGACCGGAGATGGAACTTGCAGCTTCACACGACGTTACACACAGCAGCAGCGTTCCTTAACCCGTCGATCTTTTATAATCCGAACTTTAAGATTGATCTGAGAATTAGAAACGGATTTCAGGAAGCTATGTTGAAGATGGCGACGACGGATAAAGATAAAATGGAGATCACTAGAGAACATCCTGCATATGTAAATGCTCAAGGTGCTCTTGGTACCGACTTCGCTATCTTGGGGAGAACTATAAATACCCCAGGTATGAACCGTCTTATGCATGTGAGTTATAAGTTTTATTGTTACCGTCCAAGCCCACCGTTAACATATATTGTCCTTTTTGAGCTTTCCCTTCGGACTTCCACTCAAGGTTTTAAAACGCGTCTACTAGGGATAGGTTTCCACACCTTTATAAACAATGCTTTATTCCTCTTTCCAACCGACGTGGGATCTCACATTCCATCCCCCTTCAAGGCCTAATGTTCTCACTGACACTCATTCCCCTCTCCAATCAATGTGGGATCTCACAATCTACGCCCCTTCGAGGACCAGCGTCCTTGCTGGTACGCTGCTCGGTGTAATTGTGTGATCCCACATTGATTGGAGAGGGGAACGAGTGTCAGCAAGGACGCTAGGCCCCAGAGGGGGGTGGATTGTGAGATCCCACATTGGTTGGAGAGCGGAACGAAGCATTCTTTATAAGTTTGTAGAAACCTCTCCCTCATATACGCGTTTTAAAACCTTGAGGGAAAGCCCAATGAGGATAATATTTACCAGCGGTGGGCTTGAGCTGTTACATAAACCCTCCAACTAGATCAAGCTGGCTCAACGGTTCCATTGGCCTATCGTATTTTTGTTTACTTTTCAGATGCTTATTTCATTTTCCATGTTGCATCCATAGGGGATTGGTGGTCAGGGTACGGTTACGAAATCCCGACGCTCCAGAGAGCGGCGATACGAATACTAAGCCAACCCTGTAGTTCTTATGGGTGCAGCAGATGGAACTGGAGCACGTTCGAAACCTTACATTCGAAGAAGCGTAGTACAACCGAACAGGAAAAGCTGAACGATTTAGTGTTTGTACAGTGCAATCTCTGGTTGCAACATATTCGTTGGACTCGGGATGGTAAATATAAACCCGTCGTATTTGATGATATTGATGTGAGTTTAGAATGGCCGACCGAGCTAGAATCATCGGCTCATGTTTTAGATGATTCGTGGTTGGATAATCTGCCTCTTGAATGTGGAGGCAGCCCTTAATATCTTCAAGGCAATCAGAAACAGATACATCAATATTCCCTTGATTGCATATCATCTCCAAATATTGCACTCAGGTGTTCATACAAATCAAAGAGAAGCTGCTCTGTAAATTAGAGGGCACAACTACCTTGATCACATTATATATATATATATATATAGCCAATCAGAAATCAGAAATATCACCGGATCGTCCGCCCTTCGGGGATGTCCTCCACGTCGAGGAACATGTACTAGGGTGTATGTGCGACTCGTTCTAACCATGGACTGGGACAAAAGATAGTACAAATTTTTCCCGTATCAGTGATAAATACCAGTGAATAGGATAGATTGAATGGAAGAACGTCATTCACAGCCTAAAAATAAATAAAAAAGATTTATCGTATCGTTTTATTGTGTATCAAATTTATGAGTTCTATTGGTGCAAATCCAATCATCGGAAAGAATTTCTCATTTTATATATATATATATATATATATATATATATATATATATATATATATATATATATATATGTGTCATGTTAATTTAAAAATAAAAACGTGTCCAATCAAGACACGAAACAAAAAATTTGACGGTAACGATTAACTATAGAGGAAAAAAACAAGATTAATGGTAAGATTCCACATCGGTTGGAGAGAAGAATAAAACATTCTTTATAATGGTGTGGAAACCTCTTTAGACGCGTTTTAAAAATCTTAAGGGAAACCCGAAAGAGAAAGTTCAAAAAGGACAATATCTAGTACTAGTGGACTTGAGATGTCATATATGGTCAGAACCAGACATCGGGCAATATGTCAGCGAGGAGGTTGAGCGGGTGGACACGAAACAGTGTGACAACAAAGACGTTGGACCTCGAAAGGGAGATGGATTGGGAGACCCCACATTGATTGGAGAAGGGAACGAGTGTCAGCGAGGACATTGGACTCCGAAAGGAGGGGGAGGTGGACTATGAGATCCCATATTGGTTGGAGAGGGAAACGAAATATTGTTTATAAGGGTGTGGAAACCTATCCCTAGCAGACGAGTTTTAATAACTCTCGAATAGAAAAGGCCAAAGAGGACAATATTGGAATGTTACATTAACCCAAACGACATTAATTAAAATGTCGAGCTTAAAAACTCAGGGACGAACAACAAGAAGTATATTTTTCTCTTCGATGATTTATTTATTCCCGAGTACGCTTTGATTTTTTAAATTATAAAGGAAAAAAGGACCAAAAAAAAAAAAAAAAGTTTTATCATATGTGTGTTATTTACTTAAATACCATTCCCCATCCTTGAAATTTGGCTTTCATGATGGAAGCAATTTGGGTGGGTGGTTGTTTTGTTTGGCTCTTTATGCAATAATAATTTATACCCAACCACCATAACCCTAACTTAAATTAGGAACCAAGACAACCTCCACATTTTCATGCCCTTTGCCTTCTCTCCAAACTCTCTTTAATTATTTCCATTTTTCACCCTCGAACGAGCCGAGATTGAACCTCCGACTTCCAAAAAACCATTGCATGACTTTTAAATATTTAAACATTTAAAAAGTGTGAGATCCCACGTCGGTTAGAGAGAAGAACAAAATTTTTCTTATAAAAGTGTGAAAACATCTCCCTGATAGACGCATTTTAAAATCGTGAGGTTGATGATGATATATAATGGGTCAAAACGAACAATATTTATTAGCAGTGAGCTTGCATATCGAGTTTACTCAAAATTACTTTCTAAGAGTTAAAGGGGTAATTTCCAAAAGAAATTAAGAGAATATTTTAAAAACTCGACACCAAAACAAAATAACGTTTTATAAAGGTAAGATCTCAAGTAATTAAATTATATGGATAAGGAAGGGGAAGGGTTCATCCTTATCCAAATGAAATATGTTCTATCATTACCTAATTAGGAAAATACGTTTTTTTTAAGTAATTTAATTATTAATTAGTTATTTGTAATTATTTTTACTAAATTTAACTTAAAATCATATCAAAATAGAAAAAAATTACCATCTTCAAGTTTTTAAATTTTGGGTGTGATCGAGAACTAAAAAGATAGGTTTCGCTAAAATTATTGTTTTAGAAGAATCTAACTAAAACATCAAAAAAAAAAAAAATCGAGTAATTATTTCTAAAAGTAAAGAAAATAAAGGAAGACGAACCGTTCAAATATATTCATCTAGTTCACCTCCAGAATAGATTAAAAAGAGGTCACGTTTTGAACTAAAATTTGGAATCTATACTAAGTACCTAAGAGTTTAGGTATTCTTTCCAATCCTATGACATCCGCGTACGCAATATAATATTCTAAGCCACTTTTGAGATGGAACGTTGTCAACATATGTCCTTTAAACATATTATATCTTCACCCAAATACTTTATAGAAAAATGTGTTCTATAATTATTTCAATTAGATAGACTTAATATAAAGTTATCGTAAATAGGTTACAAAAGAAATAAGAACCTTACTGATTCTTTAACGTTGATTTTTATATGCTTGTATATGTTTGTAACTTCTTTAGCTTGAATTTGATATTATTTCAATTAAAATATTTCACAATGAATCACTCCGTCTAAATACCTTTTTAATGAACTAACCCAATCCATTGATAAAAAGTTTGAAATTAATATAACCTAATAAAAAAAATAGAGATGTGACTTAACTTTGTAATAACCCAAACCCGCCGCTAACAAATATTGTCTTCTTTGAACTTTTCTTTTGGACTTCCTTTAAGGATGTTTGCTACGGAGAGATTTTCACACCCTTGTAAATAATGTTTCGTTACGGAGAGATTTCACACCCTTGTAAAAAATGTTTAGATGGGATATCACGACCTTCTACTTTTGAACTTTGCAAGGGGTAAATGAACCTTCAAATTTTCAATTTTATTAATTTAAACTTTAAATTAATAAATGTTGCAATTTTTCAAATGTTAAGCTTTTATTACAAGAATACTAATAAAAATGATTTCAATGTGTCCAAATTACGAAAGATTAGAGATTGTGTAATATCGAAAACCCACCGCTAGTAGATATTGTCCACTTTGACCCGTTACGTATCGCCGTTAGTCTTATGGTTTTAAAACGCGTATGCTAGGGAGAGGTTTCCAACTCTTATAAAGAATGTTTCGTTCCCCTCTTCAACCGCGTGAGATCTCACAATCCACTCCTTTTAGGGCCCAACATCCTTGTTGGCCTTCGTTCTCTTCTCTAATCGATGGGAGATTTCACATTTCACTCCTATTGGGAGCGCAACATCCTTACTAACACACCACCCAATGTGAAGAAAAATAAAAAAAAAATGTACGGGTAAGGATCAGTTATCAAACCCAAGCCTAACATGACCGTGTCTAAGATGTAAGGAAGTTGTGAAGGGTAAAAGTTGAGCCATTTTGAAACCCAATGAAAAGCGAGTTACCAAGTGGATGAAAGGTGGAAAGAATGAGCAAAGGATTTGGAATCTCTAAGAAAAATCCACGCCATTGAATTGAAACAGTCAAGCAAGCAAGCCTCCACAGTTTCAATCGTCACTATTCCAAGCCCCTTTCCTTCTCATTCACTCCCCCTTCACCTTTTTTTTTTTTTTCATTTCCCTTCCCCTTTCCCTTTCCCTTTCCCTTTCCCCCACCAACACCCAAAATCCAATCTTCCTCTTCCAGCAGAACAAAGCCAATCGTTAATGGCGATGGAAACCCACCCTTCAATCTGAATTCCCAGAAACCCCTTTCATTTTCTCATACTTTCTACTCCACAATTTTCGAACCCCAACTCCTAATCTTGAGGCACTTTCATTTTGGCCAATGTCACAGCAGAAGACAATTTCCCACATCGATAACTTACCATCAACGCCGGGGAAGTTCAAGCCGGAGAAATCTCCGCCGTATATTCACCGGTTGAGAGTCCATTCCGCCATTTCCAGGTTGACTCTATGGTCCTCCTTGTTCTTGATTTTCATCATCTGTTTCTTCTTCTTCTCCCCTCCTTCATCCTCCGCATCGCCTCGCCGAGCCCTGGGCGGAGACTCGTGGGGTGGTCATAATTGGGAGAAAAAGGTCAGCCGCTCTGCTCAAACGCGCTCCGGCCTCACCGTCCTCGTCACCGGCGCTGCGGGTTTTGTCGGAACCCATGTCTCAATCGCCCTGAAACGACGAGGCGATGGGGTTCTTGGACTCGATAACTTCAATGACTACTACGATCCACAGCTCAAAAGAGCTCGGCGGAAGCTTCTCGATCGCGCTGGTGTGTTCGTCGTAGAAGGAGACATTAACGATTCTGAACTGCTTCGTAAGCTCTTCGATGTTGTGGCTTTCACCCATGTTATGCACCTTGCGGCTCAGGCTGGAGTCAGGTACGCAATGCAGAACCCGGGTTCTTATGTGCACAGCAATATTGCTGGGTTTGTGAGCCTTTTGGAAGCCTGTAAGTCGGCAAATCCACAGCCCGCCATTGTTTGGGCATCTTCAAGCTCAGTCTATGGATTGAATTCCAAGATACCCTTTTCAGAGAAGGATCGAACTGATCAACCAGCAAGTCTTTATGCTGCAACAAAGAAAGCTGGAGAGGAGATAGCTCATACTTACAATCATATTTACGGGCTTTCAATCACTGGTTTGAGATTCTTTACTGTATATGGACCTTGGGGTCGACCTGACATGGCGTATTTCTTCTTCACTAAGGATATTCTCAAGCGGAGGGCGATAACAATCTATGAAGCTCCCGATCATGGTACAGTTGCTAGAGATTTTACCTACATTGATGACATAGTAAAGGGGTGTTTGGGGGCTCTGGACACCGCTAAGAAGAGTACAGGGAGTGGTGGGAAGAAGAAGAGGGCTGCACAGCTGAGGATTTTCAATCTGGGAAACACATCACCAGTACCAGTGAGTGAGCTTGTTAGCATACTGGAGAAGCTGTTGAAAGTTAAGGCAAAGAAGAAAGTTCTGCCAATGCCCAGAAATGGAGATGTTAAGTTCACTCATGCCAACATAAGTTTGGCTCATAAGGAGTTTGGTTACAGGCCAACTACCAATCTCGATACAGGACTGAAGAAGTTTGTGAGTTGGTACCAAGATTACTATTCTGGGTCCAAGAAGAGAGTTGCCAGGGCTTTCTCCAACATTTAGATTCTTCACAATTAATGTTGTTTTGTGTCCACTGATCATCAATCTTTGATAATTTGCTGAATTTTTCAGTCATATTGTGCTTACAAAGAAGCAGCACCTCCTGCATTAGTTTTGCTTTTTGCTCTTCATTGCCATTTTCTGTCAGCAAAAGACTAGAAGCCCTCTTTTCATAGCTATATCCCAAATGTTGCTTCATTTGTTCTGTTCGTTTTTCTGTATTTCCCCTATGGACTGCATTCTGTTGAGGCTTTACATTTCATGACTGAGAGAAATGAAACATGCTGGTTGGTTGGTGGACTTCACTTATCATCTTGAATAAGATAGCAATTTACGAAATGGCTTCCCGTTCTTTGAATATTGAACTGACCCCTTACTGATGTTTACGACAATACATACACATATTAAAGCTCTAGCAAGATTCTGGATAGCCATTCAGTTCTATACTCAAGTTGTCTGTAGGAGGGTGTATTTGTTTCTGCATAACCCTGCTTCTAAACTCTCATAACAATCTTGAAAATTTCAGGAAACAAATTCAGTCATTGCATTGCATAAGCATATGATTCGCTCTGTGCTTCAAATAAACGTGCATGCTCCAACCAAGATTTTGGAATGCTCTCTACCAGTATCTTCTTTTGATTGAAGAATCCTTAATCTGCATGGTCTAAGATTTCAATTTCTTTTTTCAAACCAGCAGATTCGTGTTGATTTGTTGTTTTCTGGCTAAACTTTATGTATAGACCAAAAATGGGTTTGGATGATATCTAATAATGGTTCTCAAAGCAATCCAAGTGTTCTAGGTTCTTGGAATCTTTAAAATTACGTTTGACTATCGGAGGAGAACAAAGTAATCTTTATAACGGTGTGAAAACCTCTCTCTAGTAGAGAAGTTTTAAAAACCTTGAGAGAAAGCCTGAAAAAGAAAGCTCTTCAAAGAGGACAATATTTGCTAGCGGTGGGTTCAGGCTGTTACAAAGCCAGACACCGGACAATGTGCTAGCAAGGAGGTTGAGCCCCAAAGGGAGTGGACACAAGAGGGTGTGTCAACAAGGACGTTGGGGCTCGAAGGAGGTAGACAGGGGGTCCCACATCGATTGGAGAAAGGAACGAGTGTCAACAAGGACGTTGGGGCTCGAAGGAGGTAGACAGGGGGTCCCACATCGATTGGAGAAAGGAACGAGTGCCAACAAGGACACTTGACCTCGAAAGGGGGTGGACTGTGAAATCCCACATCGGTTAAGGAGGAGAATGAAATAATTTTTATAAGGGTGTATAAACCTCTCCCTAACAGATGTGTTTTAAAAACCTTAAAGAAAAGCTTAGAAGAGAAATCCGAGAAAGGACAACAGCCACAGCAACCAGATATGGGCTTGGATTGTTATACTTCTAAACTCCTATCTCAAACTCAGTCAAAATTTTAGGGCAATGTGCAACATTAAGTTCTAGGTAGTGTTCAAGTAAAGATGAAGCAACAATACATGCTAGTGTCAAGTCATTTACATGATCGTGACGACACAGCTTCAGTTTCAGCATCAGAGCTGAGATCCCACCAAGCACCACTGTCACCATTTGTCATATTCTCATCAACCGAACCTTGGTCAACATCTTCATCCTCGCCCATATCATCATCCAAACCAAACACTTCCTTCTCCAATTGAGGATTGTATGTCCATTCCAATCTCTTCAAAACGTCCCGATCCTTCCATTTTCCCACAACAGACACAGCCTCCTTCTTAGCCTTCCCCATTAAAATCTCCTTCCAAGAAAACCCAGTATCAGCATTTCTCTTCAATGGCCCATCATTAAGATCCCCAACAACAACTGTTCTAAGACATCTCAACTTGGCCTCCTTCAAAACATTCACAAAATCAGAATCATTTGATACAAGAACCAAACACTCTGCTCTTCTCCTATCCATGACCTCAACCATGTCGTTTCTCAATTCTACATCGGCAGCTTCAGGCTTATCCGACACAGTCTTCACAAAAAACCCTGCCCTCTTCAACTCATCTGCTAGACCATATCCCTCTTTCGGAGTCAAAACATCCCTAGCACCATTCTTATACTTCTGTATTTTCATCGAATACTTAGCGAGCAACTTCACTCTTCTACTACCCTTGGCAGATTCGATCTGATTCAACCTCTTCGTATGCTCACTCTCATGAATTTGCTTAAAATGATTCACTAACTTCTCATTCGTATAGAAATTTCTCCCACAAACACGACACAGATACGGCTCAATCGATTTAATCACACCTTTCCTCTCCAATTGATTAAGCATCTTCCTCTCTCTCCTTTTCTCTCTAACAACTTGCGGCACATAGCTGAACGCATGCCGATTCGCATAAGCCACCATGTACCGAATGGCGCCAAAGGAAGCCGCTGCAGCCTTGAGCTTAACAGCAGCTTCGTAAGGCGGTAACGATTTCGGTGGTTTATTGTCCAAATCCCAGAAAATCGCAACGGCAGAGCAGGAAGAATCCGGAGAAGTGGATTTCAGATTCGTTCCGGAATGAAAACGTCTATTTAATTCAGTTTCCTTACGGAATTGGAACGATAAATTCCGAAATCTAATGAACGCTATCATGGCGAGAAACTCTTTTCACATGTACTGAGGATGAGATACAAATGGACGAACGGAGGAGAAATGTAAAGAAGAGATGGAACTAACCTCAAGTACACAAGAGTGAGTAGCAGAAGAATTGCCTGGTCGGTGCTTGACGGCGGGAATCTCGGAAGGTGAGGCGGGGGAGGGCCTTGTATGGCGGAAGCAATTCAGAAGAAGCCCAATTCAGAAGAAGTCCAATTAAGGAAAAAATGCAAAAAAAAAAAAAAAAAAGTGTATATATATATATATATATAATTAATTAATTAATTTTAACCGCAATATTCCAATTTTACCAAATTATACCTCAAATTTAAATTAGTATTAAAATCTTAACCCTAAATTATATAATATTTAGCAATTTTGAAATTTTTTTTTAATTAACATTTGAACAAAGTTATACAACAATAAATGTTAGATTATTTTGAAGTCTAATTGAATGAAATTCAAAGTTTGAGTTCAAATTTATGATTAGGTTTAATTTATTTATTTCGTTGTTATTATTATATTAGTCAATATCAAATTGGGCTTATTAACACGACCATTGTATAAAATATAAAGACATGGAAGTTAATTCGAGTATGACTTAAAATGTGAAATAACCATTGTCATCTAAAAATTTGATGTTTTTAATTTTTACCCTACAATAGTAGAACGAACTCAATAAGAAAAAATGTTTCGTAACAATTGAAGTCCACTACTAGCCATCAGCCTCACGATTCATGATTTGGCCTATGACATATCATCATCAACCTCATGATTTTAAAATGCATCACCTAAGGAAAAATTTTCACACCCATGGGACATACAATCCAATAAAATACACTTTTAGTTTGAAATTAATGTCTAAAGTTTAGTCAGGAAAAGTTCGAATCAAACAAAATAGAATTTATTTATAGAAGATTATGATGTCATTTTTTCACTCAACTATAGGGCATACTATTTCAAACGTTTTATTTCCGACGTCATAAACAAAACCTTAAACAATCAGCTCTTAGAGCGAGCATTAAATTCACACTCTATTCCAAAATAATCGATCTCCAAAAGGTCCTTATAAGTAACTAAAATAGTGTACTTTTTCACTTAAAAGCACTTTAAACACCTAGAAAATCAATCCAAACAGGGACTTATGGTCTAACCAATCTAATCTTAAGACCACAACTGCCTTCTCATGTTCACCCCTCGCCCTCTGGAGAAGAGTCTGGGGACTCGAAAGTCTCAACACACCTCAGGAACAATCTTATTAAGAACAGAACAGAACAGAACCTCCTCTGTGACAACCTCAAAGCACACTCCTAACCATGAGGTAAACCAAGGCGCGCTCTGCTTAGAACTGTACCTCCCACACGAGCGCCACAAGGCGAGGTGTGAATGTAGTTTAACACTCATAATCCAACCAATCACAAATAAAAACCGACCCGACGTCCAGGTTAATCTGGTATATCATGGATTGGGTTAGTTATGAATCATCTTTATTAATTATAGGATCAGAACTTTTAAGACATAGACACCATAAACAATCCCAATAAGCTTTAAATTCTCAGTAGGCCAAGTAGCATACTTATACAGGGGAACCCATGGCAGAAAATGCTTCAGAGCCCACATTTCCACTCTTAAATTCAGAAGAATATCGACTACAATTATCATAAGAAAAACTATCATGTCCAATTAGACAAGAAACTACAAAATCACTATGAGAATAGCTCAAATTGATCCTTATGTTTCTGTGATACCTTGGAACAATTACCACATAATGGGAAATACCTTACATCGAATAGAGTGAATGAAAGGATCTTAGTCGCCCATGAGTGCAGCAGTGGACAAAATCAGGCAACAAGTGTGCTAGCAGTAGTTGACTCGCTGAAACAATAAGAAAAAGAAAAACAATCAATCAATCAACCAATCACCAGGGAGGAAAGATGATAGTCGTAGGTAGCTGAGTATATATGAACTAAACTTCAAATAACCCATGTAGAGAGAAGTCTTATTTTCTTCCACATTCAACTACTAATTGGAAGTGGATAATGTTAGAAACCACAAGGTGATGTGATATTTGTCCACTTTGAGCATATGCTCTAGTGACTTTGCTTTTGGTTTCTTCAAAAAGACCTTGTACCAGTGGAGATGTAGCTTTTCGTTTCCCCAAAAGGCCTCCTACTAATAGAGATGTATTCTTTACTTATAAACTCATAATCAACCCCTTAATTAGCCTTTGTGGGACTCATCTCCCAACCATCCTCAACCGATCATTGATCTAAGCAATTGCAATACAATACTTTGCATGAAGAGAGGAAATTTAAATCCACCCTAATAATGAGTAACAACAGAGCTTAACACAATAATCATCCTTTAAGTTATAATACAGATAACAAAATAGACTACAGTGAATCAGATCAGTGACCACTTACTATTTCCAGACAGGTGGGAGCTTCTTGGTCTTCTTGTAATAGCGAGCTAGCCGGTGAATCCTGCTCTCCACAAGAATCAACCTGAACTTTGAGTCCTTATCCTTCCTGTTCCTTTCCAAATGCTTTCTAATCGAGACGGCCTTCTTAATCAAATGGTAAAGATCCTCAGGAATCTCCGGAGCAAGCCCTTTTGAAAGTAATAGGGTACAAAAGTTCATATAACATCAAATTTTTGAATTGAGAGAAAAGTGGAACAAATACCATGAGCTTTAAGAATCCGCAAGATCTTGTTTCCAGTAACGCTCTTGACCTGAGCAATACCATGAGAGTCACGAAGAATTACACCGATCTGAGACGGCGTCAAACCCTTCTTCGCGAATTTGCAGATGTTTTCTTCAACCTAATGAACACAGACAACACACATTCTAGAACTGCCCGTTCCGATCAAAGTCAATCGAAGCTCAAACATTTTAGGTAAATGGACTTACATCTTGAGTAGAAATCTTGAGCCAACTCGGTGGAGTCCTCTTGTACGGCAATGCTGAAGCTGAAATACCTTTTCTGCAATCGAAAATGAGAGGAAGGATTGAATTACTGAATCGGAGGGATTAGAAGATGAGAAAGAGAGAAGAAGATGAACTCACCCTCTGCTGTGCATACGACCCATTGTAGAAGACGACTATGGAGGGGCTTCGAAAGCTCTCTCTGCTTCAGAAACTGGCAATGGCCTCAACTGCCAATCGATAAACCCTAGTTTTTATGTTGAACTTCCAAATTTTATATTTTATCTAAAAAAAAATAACTTTAAAATTTTAAAATTTTAAGATTTGAATATTTGACCTCTTAGATAAATAATGTGTCTTTGATCGACTTAAAGTCAACAAAAAAACCTCATTGTTTAGAACACCAATATTTTCCAAATTGAAAAGCACGACTACTAAATAAGTATCAAATCGCGAGATTTTCAATAAGGTGTCAGGGATCTCGTGATGGAAACCGCCCACGCTCCCTCTTCATAAGCCCTCGTCGTTCACTCCCTCACACATACATGTTGAGGAAGAGAGAACCCCACAGACTCGAGAACGTGCAGAATGCATTTACAAAATTCATCGTTGCGTCCCAATTCTTGAGTCGGTTATTGTGCAGTGAGTAGAAGCGTTTGACATTAGGTGGCAAGACTAATCGCAGTTGCTCTTTCCTCTGTTCTTGAGTAGTCAGGTTAGGGAAAAAAAATTTTAAGGAAGAGGAATGAGGACATCTCACGGTTTTTCGTGTTTATACAGGTAGGACAATCGTCACGAGTGGTGGAGGAAGGCGATCGAACCCAAACGACATCCAGATTCATGTGGTTGTCGCCAAAAAAACGAATCTATAAAAGAGAGAACATGGGTTAAACTAAGCCCAAAATCTCTCAACGTGCTAACCGAACTTAATTTTAGGTAATGTTGCAAAAATCCAACTCAATCTTTACGGTCCGAGTTAAGTTATTGGGATTATCTAAGATACATTATCGAGTCATTTAAACACACGAAGCTCCATCTTTGGATATATATTCTCTAATAATTTAAATAATTAAATAAAAGTGACCTTTCATGATTGCAATTCCGAATGGAATTTATTTATTTATTATTATTATTTTGGGTTTAATTTCCATTTTGCCGTTCCCTTAAAAAATCCAAAGATTAAAAATAAAAAAAAATAAAAAAAAAAACGTTACCTTCCCACACTCAGGCGAGCGTCGAAGGGAGAGGAAGAAAGGAAATCAGAGCTCTGTGAAGATTCAAACCTAAATCGAAACCAGAGATGGGCAAAGATCTGAGCGATGAACAGAAATCCTCCATGAAGGAGGCCTTTACCCTCTTCGATTCCGACGGCGATGGCCGGATCGCCCCATCGGAGCTCGGGATTCTAATGCGTTCCCTCGGCGGCAACCCCACTCAAGCCCAACTCAAAGCCATTATCGCTGAGGAGAATCTCACTGCTCCTTTTGATTTCAATCGCTTTCTTGAGATCATGTCCAAGCACATGAAGCATGAGCCCTTCGATCGCCAGCTTCGAGACGCCTTTAAGGTTCTCGATAAAGAGAACACCGGTTACGTCCTCGTCTCGGAGCTCCGACACATTTTGACGAGTATTGGTGAGAAGCTTGAGCCGTCGGAGTTTGATGAGTGGATTCGAGAAGTTGAGGTCGGACCGGATGGTAAAATTCGGTATGAGGATTTCATTGCTCGAATGGTGGCCAAATGAGGAGGGAAGTAATGCAAATTTGGTTTTCTGTGCTTTACTGGAATGATTTCTGAAGTAATTTCTGGCGATCTTTGTTGTTTTTTATTCTTCTTTCCTTTTTCTTTCCAATTTCTGTTAATTGGTTTCAGTTTACAAGACTTGCTTGGATTTTGGTGGGATGGATGCGGGTGATGCTCGCATACTTTCCCAAGTAATGCTAATATTATTTTGAAAAATTTAGGATTATGATGGGTTATGTTTGGATTGATTCGAGGTGTATTGAAAACTGTGGTTTTCTGGGTAACATAGAATCTGGTGATTTGTATGTGTTTCTTAGCTTGAATTTCGAAAAATGATTAGCTTCTCCCACGATTTATTTAGTCTTGCAATGGTTGATGCTTCTGCATGGTCTTTAAGTTAGAGAGACTCAGATGGTGTCTTCATGTTCACCATGGCTTGTTGTTTAGTTTGTAAGATTTGAAAGATTAATTAAGCTTCTCCTGTTTCATTTGGTTTAGCATTTTCTTTCAATATTAGCCTCATGAGATAAGAGAC